GATGCATGTCAGCGTCGAAATGAATCGTCTCGCTCATGACATAAGCAACATGGGGGGAATACATTATAGAGTCAGTTACCCAGATTGTCGTATTGTCCCGATCATAGGCCCGGCCTCTCCACTTTGCAGTAGAGGGTGTTGGCGCTGACGGAGGAGTGGGGGTTGTTGTTGTTGTTATTAGGGGCATTGAGGTTAGAGGCGGAATGGGAATACCCTTGCCATGGCCAATGCCGTCATGCCTTTTCTTGACCTTTCTCTCTTCTTTAGGTTAAGAATCCCTGGTGTTACCTCGGTCATGACCTGTCGATCTCAGCGGCACCGGGGTAGGCCAAGGAGGATGAGGAGGAGGATGAGGAGCAGGGAGAAGAGAAGTTCTCCCTTGAGAAGGAGTGGGGAAAAGAGAAGTTCTTCCCTGTGCAGGAGGAGGGATGTTAGAGCTAGACCCTCAGCCTCGCTCCAAGGTGAGGGCTGCTCTCTGTTTGATAAGGTTGAGGGAGATGTGGGGTTGGTCTGACATTGCGACTCCAAATGTTCCCTCTTTGTCTAACTTTTGGAGCACGTTGAAATATGGCCAAGTTTCCCTCTCGGATGTGCTTGCTTTGGCATGGATCGTGGTGGAAGGATCCCTAATTTCCACGACCTCGTCTGCGACCTCGCCCTCGACAGTTCCCTCTACCTCGACTTTAGTGGCACTGTCGGGGTCTTCATCCAAGTTATCGCCAGAGAGCCCCAACCACCTTGAGGGATCGAATGACTGGGGGTTTGGGAATATTTCTTGTACCCTGGGGTGTAGTCTAGGAGCTCATAAGCAGCTCGGCCAAACCCGTTGTCGATGTACCCCCGGACGGTGATGATATTGTCAAAATTGACTAGGTGCCGAGGAGGTGGAGCAGACTCGGCGTTGGAGATTCCTATACAAAAGAAAAACAACATTAAAACATGAACAAAATTTATCAAGGCAAAGAAAGCTGAGAAAAGAGAGGGAGAAGTTGACATACTTGTCGTTTGTCACTCCTTGGGGCACCACAAGCCATCGTAGTCGAGGCTGACCTCCTATCCCATTCATCGCTAACGACTAGCAGATCGTCTTTGTACCCCTTGTCCGAGTCTAGGAGGTGAGTTACAAGGTACATGGAGGGATCTCAGACTTTCAGGTAGAAATTTTGCTGGGGCATTACCCTCAGCAAGGAGTAGCATAAGAGGATATCCTCAAGGCCAAGGTTAACCCCGAGGTGTTCATTCAGGACCATAACTCCCATAATGATCCTAAATGTGTTGAGGCAACACTGCCCCAGGAAGAGATAGAATTGGGATAGGAAACGAAGGAGGAGTGGATGGAGGAGGAATCTAATCCCTCCCTCCATGATGGCTTTGGTATAGAAGGGCATGACATCATCGGTGCCGACATCGGCATGGTGGCATCCAGGTATGAACTCGTCCATGCTGACGCTATGGGGGATAGAATAATGGGTTTTGAAGTTGGTGATTTGCTGGCAACCCTTGACCGTATACTTCCACGGCCTAGAGCGTCTAGCCTCTTTGGTCTCGGTGATAGTATGACGACGTCTCGACATTTCACAAAAGAAAAAAGGGAATCAGAAGGGGTGCTTGTTGAAAATGGGAGGCCTAACAATCGTTGCTAGGGACTTAAGAAAGCGAGAGGAAAGCCATGGGACTATACTAGGCTACCAAAACGGAAATGGAGAAAGGCGAAAGATGATGTGGGCACCAAAAAAAAGAAAAAGAAGAAAGCAGGAAAGCAAGATGATTACTCACCAAGTGAAAGAACAGTCCCTGTGCAGGAGAGGGGTTGATGACTTCCTTTGCTATTGATTTCCAGGAAGGTGGCAACAGATTCAGGTGAAGATAATGATCTCTTCGATGGGACCTCCGGTGGAAAGGCTTTGGACTTCTAATAATTGCAGAAAACATAAGAAAAGGATAGAAGCCCTTAAATAAGGGGTTTGACCCCATCAATGCGCATAAGACAAGAAGAGGGTGCATTGAATGGGGCACGACCCCCAAGGAAGGAAAAATGGCTGAAAAAAAGGGCAAGGGTCAAGCCCTTTCATCTTCTGACACCACGCCACCCATGCCATACTAAGATCAAAGGATTAGGGGCAATTGATGGGACGCTTCTGAGAAAGAGCAAGAAGTTGACACGTGTCCTTAGCATCGAGGATACCTTCAGCATCCTGATGAAGACATGTGTCCTCGGCACCGAGGACACCTTTAGCATCTTGATGAAAAATGTGTCCTCGGCACCGAGGACATCTCCATCATCTTGATGAAGACATGTGTTTTGTGTCGAGGACACCTCCATCATCTTGATGAAGACACATGTCCTGTGCCGAGGACACCTCCATCACCTGATGAAGACATTTGTCCTTGGCATCGAGGACACCTCCAGTATTCTGATGAAGATACTTGTCCTTAGCACCGAGGACACCTCCAGCATTCGAAGGAGGACATGTGTCCTCGGTGCATGAGCTCTCGGAGCACTAGGCCTTTGACAAGTGTCCTCGGCGTTATTAGATCCCGAGGTCTGTTTTTAGACACGTCACTTTGGCCACAAGGCGAATTATTGACGGTTGCAGCCTATTAAAGTAAGAGTTAGACAATGAAACATTAATCTTGTTTTCCCAAAGGAGTCAGGATGGTAGAAAAGACATGACCAACGACCAAAGAAAATTGAACACGTGGCACAAAGTACAGAGTTGGGGGCCAATGGACAAGAATGTCCCCCCGTTGGCCCGCAGCCATCAAAGAAAAGCATTCAATGATCCTTTGGGAGGATGAGACGTGTTTATCGCCCAAAGAGCCTTGGTGGAAGGGCATTAAGTGCTCGGAAGCTCAAGTAATTAATGCTGATTGACTTCCTAAACGAGACAGGAGGCGTTCTGCCCAAGGACTGTTCACCCCTACCTGCTACCTCCCAGATGGGCCAATGGGGATCTCTCCTTAGGTAGACCCACCTACCAGCAATGATGACTTCCATGAAAGGTATAAGTAGCTCTTATAATATGGAAATAAGGTGCGCAAACCATATTCTCTGTAATACAACAGTGTCTTCTCTCTCCTCTCACACATACTGATTTGATCATCGGAGGGGATATGCCAGAAAATACTTCGGCGCCCTTCTAACCCTCTTTTCTGAGTGGCAGATTCCTTATCGACTCGCCAGAATCGCATGGAAAGATGGAAAAATAATTTATCACCACTCTTTATGAGCGTTATCACTCCCTCTTGCTGAGGGATCCTCGACTTTTAGGTAAATTTTGTGTTCATCAAATAAGAGATTTGTCATTTTCTTTTATTGTGCGAAAATCACTGTGCACACCTACCTTCAAACTTACTCAAATCCCCATTGCACATTAGCCAAACGCTTTTAAGCTTCATTCCAAGATTTGTTAAAAGGTCCAAACTGCCTAATTGAGAGTGCAGTAAAAGTTAATAGAACAAGCCATCTCTCATTGCCTTGTTAATCTGTCAATTGGAAGACATTTTTAAATTCCTAAGCAAACAACATGCATATCAACTAAAATAATACGGGTAAAATCCCATTTTGCCCTTTTGAAAGATTCAAAAATTCTTAGTTTGTCTTCCGAGTGATTAATTTTTTGATATTGTCCCCTCAAAAAAATAAAAATATTGTAATATGGCTACCATTTTATTTTCATTTAATTGTCCGTCTATTTCGTGATTTTTAATTGGTTCATTTGGCACAAAACAAATAGACGATCAAACGAAAAAAAAACGGTGGACCACATTGTAATATTTTTATTTTTTTGAGTAGACAATAAGATATAATTAATCATATAGGGGTAAATTGAGAATTTTTGTATCTTTTAAAGGGCAAAATGAGATTTTCCCAAAGAATAAAGAAGAAAAGCAAAGAGAAGCTTAGAATCAAAGTTAAACATGGTTATACAAGAAAAGGATATTAGCTTCACTTTAGTACATAGAATACAGTTAGATGTATTAAAGAAGTGCCAATTCATGGGTACTATCTGATTCACAGGCCCACCCCCACTAGCCATGCAAGGCAGATATGATCCCTTGCAATATCCATGAAGAAACCTAAATATTCTCTTATAACCGGGTCTCTTTTAAAATCTGAGAGAGAGAGAGAGATGAAGCAAACACTAAGAAGTGTGAAAGAGACACACTAAAGAAAATTTACATACCATCTTCATCAATCACTCTCTCTCTCTTCTCATTGAAATGTTACAGCTCTCTCTTCCCGTTTCTCTACGTTTCAAGTTAAAGGTCCCAAATAATCAACAGAGATCGCCATTCAAGATGATTTCTACTACTCCTTCACGTTTGTTTATAACCAATTCACATCAAGCTGGCTGTCCAAATTTACTATTCCCTCCAGCAAATCAGGTCTTAACTTTATATATCGCGGCCTTTCAAATATTTATTTGTAAAAATAATATTATTAGTGTTAAATTTGTAGTTTGTTTTGCTGAACATTATTTTTGGTTAATACCACTTTTAGTCCTTAAAATATTTATTTTTATTAATTTTGTCAATTTAGTCTCTCTCTCTCCTAGCCCTTGAATCCACAAACTAGTGGTTGGAATTTGAGATCCACAACCACCGAGCTAGAAGAAAGGTCAGTTGGTCTCTAAAGTATTCAATTCGTGTTATTTTAATCTTTACATAGATGGACTGTAAAGTTTTTGAAGGAATGATCATGTGTTGGATACATGATACTGTTTAAAAAAATTATACGCGATCGCTTCCGTCAAAAAACTTGATAAATTATCTAATTAGAGACCAAATTGATATAATGAGGACTAATATAACAAAAACTAAAAGTGTTATTAACCCTTGTTTATTTTTGATTTCTCAACTTTCTAAACTGGTTAAAATTTAAATTTTTTTTGTTTTTGCAAGGTTCTGGGTACTGGATATATCTGTATCTGTATTGAAGAATTTATTAATGTCAGAGTGTTGCAGCAATAGTATTTGGTGATGGACCACAACCAGACATGCTCTACCCATTGACAAAGAGAAGATCAGAAGGGGCAATCCCTATAGCAGGCAGTTTCAGGATCATTGATGCAGTTGTGAGCAACTGCATAAACAGTAACATAAACAAGATATATGCTCTCACACAGTTCAACTCCACTTCTCTCAATTCTCACCTTTCAAGAGCTTATACTGGAGCACGCCTTGGGAAAGAGGGATTTGTCGAAGTAATTGCAGCTTACAAGAGTCCTGAAGATGAGACGTGGTTTCAGGTTAAACAATTGGTGTTATTCATCTTTAGTATTTCGACTTTTAAACATCTATTATTTGATAAGCAATGTTACACGGCCTTAAAAATTTGACTCGGTAATGTGGTTATTATATTTATCATTGATTTAACTGTGGATTCGAGTATTTATTAAAACTTACTATCTATTCAACAATAGTGATTTATCAAATCAATTTTTTAAGTCTATTTAGCATTTTTCTTATTTGATTAAAGACAATTTTAATTGAGTAAACTACGTACGACCGTCAAACTATGATTCTTGTGTCAATGAAGTTCTTGAACTTTTTTTATGTCAATTGAGTTCTTGAACTCTTTAATTATGTCAATTGAGTCTCTCAATTATCTAATTGTGCCAATTAAGTCATTCTGTCTACCTCCATTACAGTATGTCATGCACGTGATCATATGACAAAAAAAAAAGACTCAATTGACATAATTAGAGAGTTTAAAGACTCAATTGACACAAAAAAAAAGTTCAGGGACTTAATTGACACAAATGTCATATTTTAAGGATTATATATGTAGTTTATTCTAACTCATTTGTGTTACGTGAGTGACATACTTTACAACTTTTTGTTAAAAAATCTAAAGGAGATAGACAGAAGGATTCAATTGACACACTTAGATAGTTTAATGTTCCGTTTGTTAGGGAGGATGAAAAATATGAAAGATGAAAGTAAAGGGGATACACTTTCTATCCTTCAATGATGGAAATTAAGAAGGATACAATTTCCTTTCTTTGTGTTTGGTTGGATAGATGGAAAATAAAAATGACAATTTTTTTTTGTGTTTGCTAAGATTAGGAGTTATAATCGAATCGAGTTGTGTCGTGTCAGATTCGTGTTACTCATTATGAGTTTGTGTCGAATATTAGTCATATTTAACTTAACTTATTTAACTAATTGTGTCATGTCGAGTTGCGAGTTGACCTGTTTATTTTCGTATCGAGTTCGAGTTGTGTCATCGTGTTGAGTTGAAAATTTTCACCCTTAGTTAAAATGGAAAAAATATTTTTTTAGTTTAAATTTTTTATTTTTTTAAAAATTTATTTTTAAAATATTTTAAAATATATATACATATTTTACCATTATATTTTTATATGAAATTAATGTATACATAAAATATAGATATATTTCAACACAAATAATTAACTTTCCATTCACTTTTCTTCCGATTTTGGAGGGATTGATTTTGGTGAGTTAATGGAAAAGTTAATTCATCCACTTTTTCATCCTTCCCGCTTTCCTTCCTTACCAAACATGATATTTTATTTATCCTTCCACTTTTTCATCATACCAAATGGAGCATAAGGGCTCAATTAACATAATGATCATAATTTGAGTCATATGTGTAGTTTATTCATTCTCATTCCTACTCTATGTTCCATTTTTTTAGGGAACTGCTGATGCTGTAAGAAGATGTTTGTGGCTACTAGAGGAGTATCCAATCATTGAGTTTCTAGTCCTTCCTGGTCACCATCTATATAGGATGGACTACCAAAAACTTATAGAGGCTCATCGGAACAGCAACGCTGATGTAACTGTTGCAGTCTTGAGTAGCAGAACGAGAAATCAGGATCCGTGTTTGGGTACTTTTAAGGTAAATTTTGAGAGTGAAGTTACTGAGTTCATTGAGAAACCAGAAAAAGGACAACTGAAATCCATATCAGTGAGTATTTCAACCTTCTTTTGCTTAGAACTTGTCTTCTTTCATTTATTTTTTATCATTATCTCGCTAAACAAACGGATTCTAAAGACCTAATTTAAAGTTTCAGTTAGAAAGCTCCATAACATTGGATGATATTGGCCACAAGAATTTCCCCAGTATGGGGATCCATGTCATTAACAGAGATGTCATGATAAAGCTTCTCAAAGAATATTTTCCAAAAGCAAATGACTTGAGGAGTGAAGTAATACCTGGTGCAATAGCCCTAGGAATGAAGGTCAGTTGTGTACTTTTAAATTCAGGGTTAATAGTAGTTTTGATCCTTAAAATATGTATTTTTTGTCAATTTAGTTCTCATTGTATCAATTTTATTAATTTGATCTCTAAAATATTCAATTTATGTCATTTTGGTTCCTACGTAGATAGACTATTAAGTTTTTAACAGAATTATCACGTGTTAAACATGTAATACCGTCTAAAAAAATAACACGTGTTTATTTCTGTCAAAAAACTTAATGAATTGTCTGATTAGGGACCAAAGTGAAATGGATCGAATATTGTAGGAACCAAATTGATAATATTGATACAATGAAGACTAAATGACAAAAATGCAAGAATATTCAATACAATGTGATACCATGTTAACATTGATGATATAATATCACCAACTAATAATAAAACCTTAAATGAATAAAGTGAACCCTATTTGGGTAGTTATTGACTTGAAGAAAAAAGAGTTAGTAGTTATCGACTTACATGAACGCCTAGTTATTAGCTTACGTGGGGTCTACGGTTTTATTATTTGCATATTATTAGTTGGTGATATCACGTGACAAAGCTGACGTGATATCACTATTGCAATGAATATTTTTCATATTTTAGGTCCTAAAAGTGTTATTAACTCTAAAATTTATGCCTTATTTATGTTTAACACCTGAGAAAAAAATTTACTTTGTGCAAGGATCAGGTTCATGCATATCAGTTTGATGGATATTGGGAGGACATGAGAAGCATTGCAGCGTTCTACTATGCCAATATGGAAAGCACCAAGAAAACAAATATGGCATTCAAGTCAGTAACTTTGATACCAGGAAAGCCAAATGATTTTTTTTTTGGGGTCAGGGGTGTCAGGGTCAGTTTACGCGAACCTCAATTAATTTTTTTTTCGGTCTAATCAAAGATATGCACCGGGATAGGATATTCATGAGAAGGATAAATATTTGATGGCCTGACCTTAAAGGGTTACCAAGATTCGAACTTTAGACATTAGATTTTACAACTTGTTCATATTACCTCTTAAGCTTTAATCCAAATAAAGCTAGTGCATTGCTTTACTTATAATTGGTACCCTCACCAACTAACACAAACTTCATCTTTTGGTAGCAGCTTCTACGATGGAGATTCTCCTGTGTACACTCTGCCTCGGCATCCACCTCCAACTCTGATAACTGATGCTGTGATTACAGATTGTGTTATTGGAGATGGCTGCATTCTCAATGTAAGCAAACTACTTTTCATCAGCTACTAATTTATAGAAAAATACACTCTTTTTTTCATGAAAACTTCGTGTATAACAATGTCAAATTGGTTTTCGTCCTCTTCTCGGTGCATATCTTCTTGCAAATTTTGAAAACAGAGTTGCAAGATCGTGAGGACAGTAGTTGGTCTGAATACAAGGGTTGGAGACGGGGCCATAATCGAGGACTCAGTAATCATGGGTTCTGACGATTTTCATGTAAGAGGAGGAGCGTAATAAAAATAGAATATTTTGTTCGTTAATGCATTGGGTGTTTGGTTCCAAACAATGACATTGCTGCTTCTTTGTCATTCATATGCAGAAAAATGCTATGCCAAAAAAAAAAAAATTTGATTTCAAATAACGTTGGTTCCAAACATTCGACTAATTCTTTTATTTTGCGTGCAAAGTGTGTTTTAACAGACTAATGTTGTGCAGAGTGGTAGTGCTGAAGGCAAGGGCATGGACATTCCGATTGGAATTGGGGAACGTTCGTACATAAGGAAGGCTATAGTAGATAAGAGTGCAAGGATTGGCAAACATGTTATGGTACTTTAAAATCAAACACCCATGCCAGTAGGCTTATTTTTTTTTGCAATGTTGCTATGAACTTTTTAGTTTTGCATATTCATAATTGCTACCCAGGAAATAAGATACGGATACGACGATATAACAAAACATGAGAAAATAGGATTCGAAATACGTCTATAAATATATATATTTTTTATATTTTTACTATTATGTAATGATTTAATAGCTATAATTTTTAGTGATTCATTAACAATAATAAATAACATTAACAATTTTTTTTTTATTTTTTAAAAGTTATCTATCTGTCTTACTATGGTATATCTACTGAGTGAATGTGATTAATTAAAATAATAAGAATCAATATTTAATTATTGTTTGCTTAGAAATATTTGTTATTAATATTATAGAGTAATCAACTTATTTAAACTCTTTGGACATGTGATAATGAATAATACTTGAAAAACACTCACATTTGGTGTGTAACCGACATGTATCATCGATTATCTGATAAATATCGTATCCAATATGATAATCGATACGAATGCGTTGACCTTAAAGAAGTATCTATGCTTCATAGATTGCTACATTTTGAAGTCCAGGTATATTGGTTGCCAAGAAGAAAAAAATTATTTTCTTGAATTCTCTCTTTGGGTTCATGGCGTATTCCATCTGAAAATTTATAGCTAGAGGCCTAAAGGCACATCCATTACTCACTTTATATCTCTGTCTATCTGTATGTGTATGTATATAGGAAGGTGTTCACATATATGATCTATGCACAATGCATTCACTTTTAGTTGATAGATTCATAATGCATAAATGCAAATCTTTTTATGTGTATGCATTTCATTACTGTGTATTTCATTGCCCAAAGTAAGTTGAGGGAAGGTCTATCTTCTTTTATCATTATAAATTGTATGTATTTTGGTGTAATGTAGATCATAAATAAAGACAATGTCCAAGAAGGGAATAAGGAAGCTTATGGCTACATCATCGCGGAAGGGATAGTGGTAATTATACGGAGCGCAGTTATCCCCGATGGGAGTATCATATGAACATCCACCCAAGTTATTTTTATACATGATTCTTTCATTATTTTGGACACAAATGCATACTCTCTCTATTTCTCTCTCTCTTGAATTGGTGGAAAGCTCAAGAGCACGTAGATGTTTAACAAACAAAATAACTCTTTGTTGACGATAAAATTTCATACATACAAAAGGATTTCAGTTTCATGGAATTTTTGAATCTCCTTAGCATTTATGTGAAAATATTGACGTGATTATTAGGATATATTCCTATTTTATTGCTCAATAAAGATAAATTTTATTAAGGATCTCCAATTACAAGAATATGAAAGGCACATCTTATGGCACAACATATAATTCCCTCATGGAAAAATAGGCAAAAAGATAGCAAATGGGGTATTCTTTTAGTTACAAAAACAATGCAAATTAACCAGACATCGGAAAAAGACATCATTACACAATACTTCAGAATACTGAACTTAAGGATTATAGTTTATCAACTACTAGGGGTACCTGTATCTGAAGATATAGTGTAATGTGAATGATTTAGAGATAGATGTTAGTGACCATTGGATTAATTTATTTGAGACCGTCAAGTGTGTTTATTGAAGTCTGTCATGGTATTATAAATTGCAATTGATTTCATAAGGGGCTGTTCCTTGTTACAGGGGTAAAAGTTCAAGCTAATAACTATAAGATCATAGGTTCAAATCCGAAGAAGGGTTATTTTGTTCAACTTAATATTGCAATTTCAAGCTCATATTTTGATCAACTTTGGCCTTCATTAACAGAAAATTTTAAATCATGGGCTTTTTGGAGCCGATATAAATAGGTTGATTGTCTAGGCTTTGGAGTAAAATAAATCATGTATGTTTAGACTGTGGGCTCTATCAAATATTAAAATTACATCTCCAACGATAGTTATTCCTATGACATTGCCCTTTCAGCTATTACATTTCTCACATTGCACCTTGAACTATGGTTCTTGGTTGAGATGTTCGTGCAATTCATCTCATTTATAATTAGGATATGTTTAGGACTCAAACCTTTTTGTGAGAATTGCTAAAAACAATAAATTTCATACCTAATTTGTCAATAAGTCTAGGAATGTATTTTTTAAGGTATGAGATGTAGCTTACCTGAACTTTTTTGTCATGTAGTCCAAACTAATTTTTCTCTTTTTCTACATGACAATATTACCCCGACTCTCTGTCACGCCCCGAACCCGATCCTCTTGGATTCGGTATGCGAACTACAATTCCATCACAATTGCCAAAATTCATCTTCAAATATTAAAAATAATTACGCCCATTACAATTGCCAACTATTGAAACCATTACAGTAAATAAATAACTAATATTCCTTAATCCTCAAGTGATTTGATTCTCTAGTGCCTTTCATCGATCTTGTATCGAACCTCCACTTGAGAGGGGTAAACGGGAGTGAACTTGGCAGGCCCAATAAACAATTTACAACAAAATATACCAAATCACAAGGACACGCGATAATCCAACAATCAATCGTAGAATCAACAAATAAAATGAGCATTTAACACAGATCCCTTCATAAAATCATACAAAGCCCCACGATTCAATTCAAATCACTTGTGGCTTCATACTGGTTCGTTTCGGTTACATACTAGGCACTACTAGGTACATCTCATTCTAATACACGCCCTCAGGGCCACAATCACATCCAAAAACCATATCAATGTCACCGAGTATTCCTAATGCATGTGTCAATTGGTCCCAAGTATTCTACCAACAAAATTTTTTTTGCACAACAAATACAAAGACACATCAACTCGAACCCCAAATGAACATCACAAATCAACGGTTAAACAATCAATTAGATTACAATGATGATAACAATAAAATGACTCTTTACAAAGAGATTTATTGATATAGGATAACATGAATAAGAAATGAGATTAAACAATAGAAACTCTATGACAATATTGGAAAAAAAAAAAATTCATTCAAATGCACTACCATCACACTCACACACTCAACTTGAACTCTTCAACTTCTTCTCAACTATACTTACTTCTAATACTAGACTATATATCGTATTTATATAGGTCATACATATAACTCATAACATTACATTCACAAACAACTACATTCACCAAAATATTAAGACATTATTACTTGAAAAATTAACACCCACTAATACTCTTGTCTTTCACTACTTGCATATTCCTTTCCCATTACTACATACCAAATTAACACACCTTAATAATATAATAAAACTCTAAAACAAGTTAATTTTTCAGCATCCATTCTTCACTGGTGCAGTTTAAAAGGTGATAGTAAAGAGGTTCCCTTTCCATCAAGCCCGATCTCGTAGAGACGTGTGACATCTCTGTAGATTGGGGGGTTTTCATCAGATAACAACTCTTTGATCGGCCCATACAATCTCGACGTAGTCTTTCCATTAATATGTGTTCTGAAAAACGCCGCCATTGAAGTTCTTGAGCCTACATCTTTCACGAAGACTCTGTGATTCACGCTTTTAACTCTATCATTCGTGATGATCTGCAAAAACAAACACATTAATGATATTGTGAGTTCAAGTTCAAACTCTATGGCAATGGAGAGATTTTAAGGGAAAAATACTGTCGCACATCCAAAACACGACAAACTAATAGTAGAGAACAATGAACAAAGGTGTCATAATGGAGCATAGCTCGGGTATCCAGTTGATGTGGGTGACTTTCCTGGGAATGGCAGTCCTTGATCTAATGTATTTTTCAACCAAATTCCACCATGTAGTCTTTAGACTTCACAATTTTAGGAAAGTTTTAGAATACTCGTAAACTACTCCAAAAGTTTGCAGTTAATTTCCATAAAGTCTCCTAGAATCATAACAAAATACACTTATATATGTCTAACTTAAAACTTTATATTAGCGGTAATTTTGATTTAATTAAGAATTTAGTTCACCATTTAGCGTAAATTAAGGGTTTAATGTACTATTTGAAGTTTTTAAATTTGAAAAGCCCTCATTCAATCGTCAATAATAGTTTTCTTATATTTTTTTTTCTTCTGAACTCAAGGTTGTTTTGTATATTTATCCACTGGATGGAATATTTTTTTTTTTTTTTGGTGATCGTTTTGTAATAGAGAAAATTGATTTTTCTGTGTTCCACAATCACTGCATTAGATGTAAGTGTAAGAGTATCTCCACCTCACTATCAATTTCCTCTATTTTAGCTAACCAAATACAAAAAACACTCTCCAACCCACTCTCTATCCAACTCTTTATTTCCCCTTTCACCCAAATGGCTCTCAAAATGTGGAGCGTTATTTAGCTTCTCTAAATTCTCTCCCTCCTTTTTCTCTCTTTATATATATATATATATGTTGTATTCTCTTTAAATTATTGGAAGTCAATAAAAATTACGTGAAATAGTTAGTTAAAATAGAGAGTATGGTTAAAATGAATTTGTAAAAGTGAGTAGTTAAAATAGAGAATGTAAATATATTTTGACTAACTATTTTGGAGAACTGGGTTGAAGATGTTCTAACTATTAGACATGATTGGAAATGCCGACTGCAAAATAAATTAGACAAGACTTAATTAAGTTGAATACGAAATCTTGATGGCAATACAACAGACTATTGATTCCAACTTAGTGATCCTCAATTGTGCGAGCTTAATAAGAACAACTCGAATAGGTAACGATAGATCATTATTGCAGTGAACAAAATATTATTTTTGTCCATTTTTAATACCCATATGTCAGTGTCACTTACAATGCCAGCCTTGCACCATTGGGTATTGAATTGCCAATTTCAAAGCCATTTAAAATATAGGGTTAAATAATAATTTTAGTACTTAAAAGTATATATTTTTTAGGGTTAATTTTATAGGAGGTTTTTAAAGTATGAGATTTGTCTTATTTTGATCTCTAATATTTCAGTCGCATTATTTTAGTCCATGAAATATTAAATATATTTTTATGTGATTTCTCAAGTGGATAGCGTCCAGATTTTTAACGGGTTTTGATTATCAACTTATTACGTGATACCTAAATATAAACAAAAAATAATTTGGAATGCACTTAACCAAAATTTGAGTAATTGTTGACCAAAAATGTATAATATGAGTAGTTCTTGCCGTCCAGATTTCTATATATATATATTAGTCATAGCCCGTGCCTGAAAGCACGATTAAATATAAAATTTAAGAGTCCAAAAAATTGATCCTATTATATTAATTTTTTAAAAATATATATTAACTACAAATTAATTAAATATTAAATAATTAAATATATGATAAAAATAAGTGATGTGATGTTTTTAAGGAAGAAATATATAAATGATTAAATATATGATAGAAATAAGTAATGTGATTTAACATTTGAATCTAACAAATGGATGGTAGGTGAAATAAGTAATTGATGATGGTTTTGAGGAAAAAAATATGACTGAAATAAAATTCAAACATACTCCTATTTTATTATATAGATATATAATAAAGTAAAACAATTTTTAAGTTTAGAGACAAAGAGCGGTTCAAATTATTTTGTAACCAAAAAAATCATCATTTAACCGGTTAACGTTATCTCAAACTGTCTTATCCCGAGCTATTGGTGTCTTATTTCAAAAAAATTTAATCCAACGGATCAAAAGGAATTCTAAATTCTATTTTAGTCCAAAATTTCAATACCGAAATTTATGTCCACGTTTAACTCCCGAATAATGGACTGGCCTCATTCGCGCTCTCTCTATCTTCTCTGTCGGCCATCTCTTTCCATTCTTGATGCAGATCAACCCAAATTAACGTCCTAATTTCCCACCCAAGTCATACGCTAATGGTTTCCCAAAATCGACTCTCTCTCCATTCAGCCGCTGCTGTATCTCCACCTTCCTTCTCTCTATATCTCCACCTCTTTCTGCTCCTATACAGACACACAGCGACACACACAATAGGGCTCGATTTCAGTTATGGGGTTTTTGCAAAACACACACAGACGATTCTAGGTTGAGGGGGATTTTGGTTTGGTGTTTTTGTGAGGGGGTTTGCGTTTTGGGTTTTAGCAGAACACACACACACGCAGGTAACATCAGAGGATTCTCGGTTGGGAGGCTTTTGGGATTTTTGGGAAGGGATTTCTTCTCTCTTCTCTTTCTTAATGATGCGGGTGGGTTTTCTGCGGGTTGGGTGTCTCTTGGATTGTCCTTTCGCTGTCGTCTTCTTCTGTCGAATTGTTGCTAATGGGTGTCTGTGTACGTATAATGGATTGAGTTGTGACTAACTTTTGATATGTTTGGATTTAGGGGCAAAAATGGAGTTGAGGTGGTTATGTGGTGACTGTTTGCTGTGCAGATTTCTATTGGTTTTGTCTTATGGGAAGATTCAAGAAAAATATGAACTAGCTCAGGTGATTCTTTGAATAAATATCCATTCTACTTATGCTCTGAAATATGAAAGTTTTTTGTGTTAAGGAATGGTTATGCCCGCTGCTCTCGAAGGTGAAGAAGGCTTCAGAGTTGAGGTTGTTCTTGGAAGATCCTCTTACTTTTGATACGTTTGTTGTTGCTTTTAAGAATATGTGTTATTGAAGTTTGGGGTGACTTTTTTGTTTTGAATTTTGATGTTCATTTCTGGATTTTAATTGAGATTTCTGTTTAAAGCTAGATTTTCAAATGAGTTTTCTATAATTCGTTGACTTCTTTTTGGAATTTTTTTGGCGACCATGTGTGCTTTAACTGTTTAAATTGAAGTATTGCAGTCGGAATTGCACTTTGCTGCATGGAGGGTTTCAGAAAAATCTGTATTGCTTCAATATGGACATCTTGGAATTCGTCTTGGCTTTGTTCTTTCTTTTCCCTTTGCAGTATGATAGGTAAATCTTCTAAAGATCATTTGTTGTGGTTGCGTTATATGTTGCTAAAATCAATTACAATTGGCAATATTATTGAATTTATTCTTTTGTTTTTTATTGCAATAATAACTATCAATTGACGATATCTTATAAGAATTTATGGGATATTTATTTAACTGTCACATACATTCCGTTTGATGAAATGTTTTCATACACACTTTTTGTGGTCAACGTGTTAGACTTATCATATTTTTCAAGCACATTGAAATGTTTTCGAACACATTGAACTAAAGATTAGCCAAATTTGTTTCCGTTTAGTGTTAATTTGACTTTATTGATTTGTTTACTTCAGGAGAGTATTTCTACCTCTCTCACAATCTTGCAAAAGTGACAGTTGCAACCGACAATAATAAAAGATATTTTTAACGAATTTGTAACATTAATTTTCGGGTGGGTCCAAATTTAATTGCTTTAAACAATCAATTATTAAATTTGTAAGTTTGAAGAAAAAAAGATTGATTTTATTAATGATATCCTAAGATTTGGGATAGGAAGGGCGATGATAGGTAAATGTAGACAAAGGCAACGTTGAATTCTGTTTCTTTTGATAGAAAGGGTGTGAATATGTGAATGTGGACAAACACAAGAAATTGTTATGACTTTAACCAATAAATGGTCGAGCTTATGGCTTACAGGTCATGCGAACATGTAAAAGGTCTAATATAGTTTGTGAGTTTTGAGCGTTTGGTATATAAAAAATATTAAATCTGCAACTTTGGGCAAATAAAGTTATATTTTGTTTATGGGCTTTGTAGGTTTGGGATAAAAAAAATCGTGTTAAAGGTATAAATTTAGACAAAAAAGTTAAATTTTTATGTTTGTTTATGTGGTAATGGCGAACTTATGTAGCTGCCACAATTTATGCTAAATGTATATGTCTTCTTTTTGCTCTTTGAAAGACTGATATCAAAGCTATGATTGGTCCTTTCAGAGTGCGTATTTGTATTTTGCATGTCATACAAATTAAGTCAAATGTTTAATTTTGAGTATAAAGTATTTTTTAATTGATGAGTTTGTGTTATCTAGCGCACATATTGATTGATGATTTTTTTCTCAATTTTTTTGATTGACGGTTTTTTGTGTTATATAGTGTCTTCAAGTTTGAACACAATTGTTTGCGATTTTTTTTATTTGTTTCACCGTGTCTTTAGACACGGATAATTACTAGTATATATATATATATATATCATTGAAGAGATAAACGTAATTTATTATTTTCCTTTTATTGTAAATTAATGTCTATTTTATATCCATCTCTTCATCGACTGTTACGCTGACTTCTTCGGGTAATTTTCTCCCACTTTCCTCTGTTTTAGCTACTGATTTCTATATATATATATATATATATATATATATATATATATATATATATCATTGAAGTGATAAACGTAATGTATTATTTTTCTTTTATTGTCCAAGTTATCAGCCTAGGGAAAGCGCAATGTTACCCAGAAGCTCATAGAAAAAATTGTTATTCAGATCTGTTGAGCAGAGGTGCAGGATGCCCATATATATATATATATATATATATATATATATGTCATTGAAGAGATAAACGTAATGTATTATTTTCCTTTTATTGTCAATTAATGTCTATTTTATATGCATCTCTTCATCGACTGTTACGCTGACTTCTTGAGGCAATTTTCTCCTACTTTCCTCTTGTTTTAGCTACTGATTTCTACATGTACAAGTAATTGCGCACATACGTTGCACGTGAACTATTTTAAATTATAGATTTTATCTTATTTTTAAATTTTAGATAAATAATCTTTTATATCTTTTTATTGAGTAAGACTCAGAGAATGTTGGAGCTGATTAAAGGAATAGGCATGCACCAGGGAGCTTAAACAAAAACTCAATATTTTTTGGTCAGTTACAAAAACTCACTCGTTAGACAAATAATGAACTAAAAATAAATATCGATTGTATTCAAGCCGGTGACGGTGGTAAAAAAGGAATTTAGGTAGGTAGGTAGGTGGGTGGGTGGAGGGAGATCCTAGAATTACACTTAAATTCTTTGAGATTTGTTATTTAATCACTTAGACTCCCCGACATTTGAAATATTTATTTTTTGTCAATTTAGTTCTCATTGTTTTAATTTTATTAATTTGATCCCTAAAGTATTCAATTTATGTCATTTTGGTTCCTACGTAAATAGACTATTAAGTTTTTGATGGAATCATCACATATTAAACATGTAATACCGTCTAAAAAAATAACACGTTTACTTCTGTCAAAAAACTTGATGAATTGTCTGATTAAGGAGCAAAGTGACACGGATTGAATATTGTAGGGACCAAATTGATAATATTAATACAATGAAGACTAAATGACAAAAATGCAAGAATATTCAATACAATGGTGATATCATGTCAACATTGATGACATAATATCATCAACCAATAATAAAACCTCAAATGAATAAAGTGAACCTTATTTGGGTAGTTATTGGCTTAAATAAAGAAGAGTGAGTAGTTATCGACTTACATGAACGCCTAGTTATTAGCTTATGTGGAGTCTATTGTTTTATTATTTGCATATTATTAGTTGGTGATATCACGTGATAAAGCTGAGGTGATATCACTATTGCAATGAATATTTTTTCATACTATAGGCCCTAAAAATGCTATTAATTCTAAAATTTATGCTTTATTTATGTTTAACTCCTGAGAAAAAAATTTACCTTGTGCAAGGATCAGGTTCATGCATATCAGTTTGATGGATATTGGGAGGACATGAGAAGCATTGCAGCGTTCTACTATGCCAATATGGAAAGCACCAAGAAAACAAATATGGCATATAAGTCAGTAACTTTGATACCAGGAAAGCCAAATAATTTTTTTTTTTGGGGTCAAGGTGTCCGGGTCAGTTTACGCGCACCTCAATTAATTTTTTTTTCGGTCTGGGTAAAGTCACATTATCCACGGCGGGACTAGGATATTCACGAGGAGAATAAATACTTGATGACCTGACCGTAAAAGGTTACCAAGATTCGAACTCTAGACATTGATTTTACAACTTGTCCACGTTACCTCTTAAGCTTTAATCCAAATAAAGCCAGTGCATTGCTTTACTTATAATTGGTACCCTCATCAACTAACACAAACTTCATCTTTTGGTAGCAGCTTCTACGATGGAGATTCTCCTGTGTACACTCTGCCTCGGCATCCACCTCCAACTCTAATAACTGATGCTGTGATTACAGATTGTGTCATTGGAGATGGCTGCATTCTCAATGTAAGCAAACTACTTTTCATCAGCTACTAATTTATAGAAAAATACACTCTTTTTTTCATGAAAACTTCGTGTATAACAATGTCAAATTGGTTTTCGTCCTCTTCTCGGTGCATATCTTCTTGCAAATTTTGAAAACAGAGTTGCAAGATCGTGAGGACAGTAGTTGGTCTGAATACAAGGGTTGGAGACGGGGCCATAATCGAGGACTCAGTAATCATGGGTTCTGACAATTATCATGGAAGAGGAGGGCGTAATAAAAATAGAATCTTTTGTTCGTTAATGCATTGGGTGTTTGGTTCCAAACAATGTCATTGCTGCTTCTTTGTCATTCATATGCAGAAAAATACTATGCAAAAAAAACAAAATTTGATTTCAAATAACGTTGGTTCCAAACATCCGACTAATTCTTTTATTTTGCGTGCAAAGTGTGTTGTAACAGACTAATGTTGTGCAGAGTGGTAGTGCTGAAGGCAAGGGCATGGGCATTCCGATTGGAATTGGGGAACGTTCGTACATAAGGAAGGCTATAGTAGATAAGAGTGCAAGGATTGGCAAACATGTTATGGTACTTTAAAATCAAATACCCATGCCAGTAGGTTTATTTTTTTTTGCAATGTCGCTATGAACTTTTTAGTTTTGCATATTCATAATTGCTACACAGAAAGCAGGACATAGATACAACGATACAACAAAACATGATAAAATAGGATTCGAAATACGTCAATAAATATATATATTTTTTATATTTTTACTATTATGTAATGATTTAATATCTATAATTTTTAGTGATTCATTAACAATGATAAATAACATTAATAATTTTTTTTTATTTTTTAGAAGTTATTTATCTGCCTTACTATGGTGCATCTACTGAGTGAATGAGATTAATTAAAGAAATAAGAATCAATATTTAATTATATTGTTTGCTTAGAAATATTTGTTGTTAAGATTATAGAGTAACCAACTTATTTAAACTCTTTGGACATGTGATAATGAATAATACTTGGAAAACACTCACGTATCTTCCAAGTTATATAAATTTTTATTGATATATTGCATTATATGTGAAATCAAAAAGAAAATGTGAAGATTTAAATTAAAAATTATACATATTTCTTTGCATATATGAGTATCCGCAAAATATCTATATATTTTATTTATTATTGGATATGTTTGGTGTGTAACCGATGTGTGTATTATCGATTATCCGATAAATATTATATTCAATATGATAATTGATACGGATACAGTGACCTTAAAAAAGTATCCGTGCTTCATAGATTGCTACATTTTGAAGTCTAGGTATATTTGTTGCCAAGAAGAAAAATTATTTTCTTGAATTCTCTCTTTGGGTTCATGGCATATTTCAGATGAAAATTTATAGCTAGAGGCCTAAAGGCACATCCATTACTCACTTTATATCTCTGTCTATCTGTATGTGTATATATATAGAAAGGGGTTCACATATATGATGTATGCACAATGCATTCACTTTTAGTTGATAGATTCATAATGCACAAATGCAAATCTTTTTATGTGTATGCATTTCATTACTGTGTATTTCATTGCCCAAAGTAAGTTGAGGGAAGGTCTATCTTCTTTTATCATTATAAATTGTATGTATTTTGGTGTAATGTAGATCATAAATAAAGACAATGTCCAAGAAGGGAATAAGGAAGCTTATGGCTACATCATCACAGAAGGGATAGTGGTAATTATTCGAAGCGCAGTTATCCCCGATGGGAGTATCATATGAACATCGGCCCAAGTTATTTTTATACATGATTCTTTCATTATGTTGGACACAAATGCATACTCTCTCTCTCTCTCTCTCTCTCTTGAATTGGTGGAAAGCTCAAGAACACGTAGATGTTTAATGAACAAAATAACTATTTGCTGACAATAAAATTTCATACATACAAAAGGATTTCATTTTCATGGAATTTTTAAATCTTCTTAGCATTTATGTGAAAATATTGACACGATTATTAGGGTATATTCCTATTTTATTGCTCAATAAAGATAAATTTTATTAAGGATCTCCAATTACAATAATATGAAAGGCATATCTTATTACACAACATATAATTCCCTCGTGGAAAAAACAAGCAAAAAGCGAGCAAATGGGGTATTCTTTTAGTTACAAAAACAATGCAAATTAACTAGACATCCGAAAAACACGATAGTATACAATACTTTAGAATACTGAACTTAAGGATTATAGTTTATTAACTATTGGTGGTAACCCGTGTCTGAAGATACAGCTTAATGTGAATGATTTTGAAATAGATGTTAGTAGTTATTAGATGAATCTATTTAAGACCGTCATTTATGCTTATTAAAGTTTGTCATGTTATTAAATTGCAAATGATTTCATAAGGGCCGTTGCTTGTTACAAGGGTAATAGTTCAAGCTAATAAGTAAAAGATCATAGGTTCAAATCCTAAGAAGGGTTATTTTGTTCAACTTAATATTACAATTTCAAGCTCATATTTTGATCAACTTTTGCCTTCATTATCAAAAAATAGGTTGATTATATAGGCTTTGGAGTAAAATAAGTCAAGTATGTTTAGACTGTGGGTCCAATTAAATATTAAAATTTGGTGTTGATCTAATAATTCAACTGAAATCACACTATTAAATTAATTAATTAGGTCAAATTTTTATATCTAAATAACATTCCTCTTTTGGAAGATTGAAATTTCAAAATTAAACTACCGATTCACCTTTCTTACGAAACCACTTTCATTTGAAGAAAACAGTCCGGATGAAATATTACACTTTGGTAGCCTTGGGTATGTCCCTATGTCATTTTGCCCCCTCAACTATCATGTTCTTCACATTACATCTCCAACGATAGTTATTCCTATGACATTGCTCTTTCAACTATTACATTTCTCACATTACACCTTGAACTATGGTTCTTGGTTTAGATGTTCTTGCAATTTATCTCATTTAAAATTAGGATATGTTTAGTACCCTAACTTTTTTGTGAGAAATGCTAAAAACTATAAATTTCATACCTAATTTGTCAATAAGTCTAGGCATATACTTTTTAAGGTATAAGATCTAACTTACTTTTACTTTGTTGTTATGTAGTCCAAACTAATTTTTCTCTTTTTTTATATGACAACATTACCCCGACTCTCTGCCACGGCCCAAACACGATCCTCTTGGATTCGGTACGCGGACTACAATTCCATCACAATTGCCAAAATTCATCTTCACATATTAAAAATAATTACACCCATTACAATTGCCAACTATTGAAACCGTTACGGTAAATAAATAACTAAGATCCCGTTTAGTAACGTTTATGTTTTTGATTTTTGGTTTTTATTTTGATATTTAGATAAAACAATAAAAAAAAACTCGTTTGATAACCGATTTTATATTTTTTTTCCTATCATCGTTTTGTAAACGAAGGACGATTTTAAAAAACGAGAAAAAGACGTTTTTTATTTTTTAATTATGTTTTTCGTTTTTTAGAAAATCAAAAATCCTAAACGTTATCAAACGAGCTCTAATATTCCTTAATTCTCAATTGATTCGATTCTCTAATAGGGGTGAGCTTCGAAGACCCAATAAGCAATTTACAACAAAATATACAGAATCATAAGGATGCACAATAATTCAACAATCAACTGCTGAATTAACAAATAAAATGTGGTTTCATACTCGGTTCGTTTCGGCTGCATACTAGGCACTACTTGGTACATCTCATTCTAATACACGCCCCTTAGGGCCACAATCACATCCAAAAACCATATCAATGTCACTGAGTATTCCTGACGCATGTGTCAATAGGTCCCAAGTATTCTACCAACAAAATATTTTTTGCACAACAAATACAAAGACACATCAAACCGAACCCCAAATGAACATCACAAATCAACTGTTAAACAATCAATTAGATTACAATGATGATAACAATAAAATGACTCTTTACAAAGAGATTTATTGATGTAGGAGAAATGAGATTAAACACCAGAAACTCTATGACAACATTGGAAGAAAAAAAAATTCATTCAAATGCATTACAATCACACTCACACACTCAACTTGAACTCTTCAACTTCTTCTCAACTGTACTTACTTCTAATACTAGACTATATATCCTGTTTATATAGGTCATACATATAACTCATAACATTACATTCACAAACCACTACATTCACCAAAATATTAAGACATTATTACTTGAAAAATTAACACCCACTAATACTCTTGTCCTCCACTACTTACATATTCGTTGCCCATTATCACATACCAAATTAACAGTCCTTAATAATATAATAAAACTCTAAAACAGGTTCATTTTTCAACATCCATTCTTCACTGGTGCAGTTTAAAAGGTGATAGTAAAGAGGTTCCCTTTCCATCGAGTCCTATCTCGTAGAGATGTGTCATATACTCTTTAATGGTGACCTCCCTGTAGATTGGAGGGTTTTCATCAGATAACAACTCTTTGATCGGCCCATACAATCTGGACGTAGTCTTTTCATTAATATGTGTTCTGAAAAACGCCGCCATTGAAGTTCTTGGGCCTACCTCTTTCACGAGTACTTTGTGATTCACGCTTTTAACTCTATCATTCGTGATGATCTGCAAAAACAAACACATTAATGATATTGTGAGTTCAAGAGATCCTTTATTTTGTTCAAAACTCTATGACAATGAAGAGTTTTTAAGAGAAAAATATCGTCGCACATCCAAAACACGACAAACTAATAGTAGAGAAAAATGAACAAAGGTGTCATAATGGAGCATAGCTCGGGTATCCAGTTGATGTTGGTGACTTTACTGGGAATGGCAGTCGTTGATCTAATGTATTTTTCAACCAAATTCCACCATGTAGTCTTTTAGACTTCACAATTTTAGGAAGTTTTTAGAATACTCTAAACTACTCCAAAAGTTTGCAGTTAATTTCCATAAAGTCTCCTAGAATCATAACAAAATACACTTATATATGTCTAACTTAAAACTTTATATTAGTGGTAATTTTGATTTAATTAAGATTTTAGTTCACCATTTAGCGTAAATTAAGGTTTTAATGTACTATTTGAAGTTTTTAAATTTGAAAAGCCCTCTTCCAATCGTCAATAATAGTTTTCTTATATTTTTTTTTCTTCTGAACTCAAGGTTGTTTTGTATATTTATCATCTGGATGGAATTTTTTTTTCTTTTGTTTTTTTGTGATCGTTTTGTAATAGAGAAAATTGATTTTTCCTGCATTAGATGTAAGTGTAAGAGTATCTCCACCTCACTATCAATTTCCTCTATTTTAGCTGACCAAATACAAAAAACACTCTCCAACCCACTCTCTATCCAACTCTTTATTTTCCCTTTCACCCAAATGGCTCTCAAAATGTGGAGCGTTATTTAGCTTCTCTAAATTCTCTCCCTCCTTTTTCTCTCTTTATATATATATATATGTTGTATTCTCTTTAAATTATTGGAAGTCAATAAAAATTACGTGAAATAGTTAGCTAAAATAGAGAGTGTGGTTAAAATGAATTTGTAAAAGTGACTAGTTAAAATAGAGAATGTAAATATATTTTGACTAACTATTTTGGAGAACTGGGTTGAAGATGTTCTAACTATTAGACATGATTGGAAATGCCGACTGCAAAATAAATTAGACAAGACTTAATTAAGTTGAATACGAAATCTTGATGGCAATACAACAGACTATTGATTCCAACTTAGTGGTCCTCAATTGTGCGAGCTTAATAAGAACAACTCGAATAGGTAACGATAGATCATTATTGCAGTGAACAAAATATATAAAAACTATACATATATATATATATACTTGCCTGTAGGAAATCACCAGCGTTAACTACTAAAGCTCCGGGCAAGGGGGGCACATCCACCCATTGATTCTCATGCAAGACTTGAATGCCACCCACTTGGTCTTGGAGAACAATAGTAAGAAATCCACTGTCTGTGTGGTTGGTTGCACCAAGAGTCAATTCTGGTTCAGGGCATTTTGGGTAGTAATGGCCTACGAGGAAGAGACCCTCGGCACAACCGAAGTTTTTCAGGTAATTGGGATCGAGTCCGAGAGCCTCCGAGAGTAATTCAAACAGAGTAAGACCCAAACTCAAGAGGTAGTTGGAGTACTCAAACATTATCTCTCTGCAAGCTCAACATTAAGTAGAGTAAATATATTGAACACATAAACCTAAAAAAATGAATGTCCATGACACTAAAAGTACTTAAGGTCATGACAGGGCTAGCTAGGACATGACTCTACGCATTGGGTCATAGTCATACCATTGATAAAACATCAAGGAGAGAGGGAGAGACTCTGGCCCCAAGAGTACAGGACTTCATAGAGCACATACCAAAATATAGGACAATGTTGGGATGAAAAGAACAAGAAACCAGTAGACCTATAATCAAGGGTAGAGATGACGGTATACCGAAGCGGGGTGGAATGTGTAATATCCATCTTTGTACCATTTTAAAAAAAATTTGTCCATCTCCGGTCCACCTCCATAAACGGATATAATTTTCATTCTTATCCCCATCCGCGGGTAAATTTATAATTCTTACCCCCTCCCCGGTCTACCTTACCAAGCCCAAGTCAACATAATTTAAAATTTTAAATAAATTTAACATTCTAAATAATCCAACATAATATAATTAAAAATTTATCTCCCATGTAAATCTAACACAACATCATACAACGCAATATACTGTAACATAACATAATCTAACATTAAAATAAAAAACATAAAAATAAAAAGA